CGCTCCCTCACAGCTGTCAAAATGCACTTGAGGAAATCCACTCACACCTCCCCGAGCAAGGGTCTCCTCGGCGGGACGTGACACCGCGCCGCAGGACCATGGCTCCACGGCTACGCACCAGCAGGCACGTCCTGACACCCCGTCGCAGCCCCCCGACAGCCCCCGCTCGCCTGGGCCTTCCCTGGTGTTGTCTCAGGCCGGGGGGGGGTGGTGGTGTTGTGCGCTGTGCCTGAGCCGTGCGAAGTTTTATATTTATTTTTATCGTTCTGTAGGGTTTGACATCGAAACATCTTTTTTAAGATTGAAATTCTTAGCGGCGGTGCCAAGCTCGTGTGGAAATTCCCTTTTATCAACATGCTGCTGCCTTTGGAACTGCAACTTGCAGCTTTTCCTCTAAGGAACTGGCTGTGCCAGTGAGGATGTCTGCAAAGCCCCTGTGCCCCTGGGATGGGCTCTGCCCTTTCTGACAACAGGGCTATTAAAGGAATAGGTTTTTCTTCTTCATTTATACCTCACCCAGAGTGCCTGCTGGCCCTTCTTTTGTCCTTGTTCTCTTACTATTTATACTGCTGAAGAGTTTTGCTCTTTAATTGCCTTTGCCAGGTCCAACTTAGCTCAACTTTAACAATTCTCATCTCCAGTGTTCAAAGACGAGGGACTGAATGAACTCGGGAGCAGAACAGAGGGAGTATGGGCAGGAGAATTTAAGAGATGGGAATTTTTCTCTGTTGGAGGAAGAAACAGCCAATGTACTGTTCCTAAACAGCAAGTTTGTATTGTACATATAATATATTCGTTCCCTGGTGCCTCACAAATGATGCTTTCTCCTGATGCCTTTTCCCTTTTGCTTTACGTCTGATGCCCTCCTGCAGCCATTCCTCATCAATCTTTCTGCCTCTTTTTAAAGTTACAGTTTTTGGATGGGTTTTGCCCTTTTGACTTAAAGGGGTTCTGTGCATCCTCCATGTGCCAGACCCGGGGTCCCTCCCTCTGATTGGCTTCTCTAGTCGGGACTCATAATTTCCCAGAGTGTGTCCTTTGAACCACGCAGCCCTGGCTGCCCTAGTGTGGCTCGTCCTCCCCTTCAGCCTATATTGTATTAATTTCTCCAACCAAGGTTATTTTAACATCTTTTCCTCACTAAAACCGTGCCTAAAATAGCCCCTGCTTGTGTCACTTTGGGGAAGAAATCTGCTGGCTGTCAG